GTCCCTTGTCCCGGCCGGGGCAGGGTGGCCGGGGTGTACCTGGCCGTGCCGGGGGCTCGCCCCGGGGGCTGCCTTCGTAAAAGAAAGGGCAGCATGGTGAAGAGCGAGCGGCACCGGCCCGTTCACGCTCCGGCAGTGGTTTACAAACATCAAATCTTTCCCCTTCCCAAGGGCAGGGGGAAGAAGTGTGCATATTATTTTAATCCCTCACCAGTAACACCTCTGCAGAAATGTTATTAGTCATTTATCAGACATAGGCTCTGTCAGCTGATAACAAAATGGGAGAGGAGAGTATGCCCCAGCCAGCAGCATAAACCTTCTCAAGTAAGAGAGTCATCCCTAAAGCAAATGCCCAGTCTGGGCCCAACCGAGGAACCTGCTTTTAATGAAGGATCGTCAATCTTGGGCTCCCCCCTTCCAAACACATGCATTAGCGGGACCCAGCAAGGCTTTACCCACTGCTGTAATAACACAGGATTAAGGATCGGAATTGCCGCACAATGATACGGTGTGACAAAAAGGTTTTACCTGCAGGTATTTTGGGAGTGCATTTCAGATGACGGATACAGCAGAAATTGCACTGCTCGTACCAAATAAGTAACGCTGAAAACGTTACTTCCAGGTCTTCTTGCTTCTTTTGTAATGTGCTCTGTCTATCAGGGAGGACTGAGTCAAAGACCGTTTCAATTCTCGCTCCTGCACTGCCTCTGTACGCCACGCACCTTCCCCCCAACGCACACACACACACACTCACACACGCACCGAGGAAAGCAGAAACATCCTGGCTACTTTGAAAAATTAATCCTAATTCAGGGAAAAGATTAATTTTGGAGGGGGTCAGGTTCTCCTCCCCTCTGCACCTGGCATAGTCATTAACAAGTATGTAGCTTTCTTTGTAAATGGGTACAAAATACCACCACCAGTGACTGGAAAATTTTAAGTTATTTGCATTTATCACGTACTTTGCACTTTGCAGAGGGAGAGCGCTAACCAGGTGCAGGGCAGTGGAAAATTGGGCCTTTATATTTATATTTATATAATATAAATATATTGTAGTCGCACAGTTACTTAGTAGTAACGTAACACCAAATGCACCTTCTAAAAATGAATGGCAATCAGTACTTGTTTAGACACATCAACTTACACACACTATATTCAGAGAAATACAAACAACAGAGCTTCACATCCTCTCCCCCAAGGAAGAAAATTTTGCAATATTATTTGTTTTCTGGTTCCGCGAGGGCCAAGGGGTGGTCAGCGCTGTGTAGCTAACAGATGGCTGATCTTCCAGCAAAGGAAAGGTAAGATCTGGCAGACAGGTGAGGCAATGCATGGAAACAAAAAGTTTAGCACGCGGTGCTATCTTTGCCCAAGGTTTCCAGTGAGTCTCAGGTGTCCACTGATCATCCACAGAAAAAGTGGCTTTGTGTGAAATTCCTTCTTGTTACAGCAGCAGAGAAAGCCCCTGAGAGACCAAGCGACAGCCACTTTCTGCTGCCTGTAATTATTTGAGGAAGTGAAAGATGGTGACTCACGGCTCAGAGAGCAGCAAGAGCACAGCTGTGACACTAATGCATGGCCCTGGATTAGGAGGTGGATAGTCACAAGAACGTGTTACTTTGCACAGACAGTTAAATTACATCACTTGTAAAAACGGATCAAGTGTGTTTTACTAGGCACTGCTATTTCTGCATTTAATACATACAGCGTCCAACTTGACATTCAGACTCAGCATGGGGTCTTAAAACTCTGCAAAGATTTTCTCCATTCACTCTCTTTAAAGCCACGGTCCTCATCCCCACGTCTGCTTTTTGTCAAGGTTTCTTCTCTTTTGCTGTCATACCACGGTGTTTGGCTTGGCACGATCCGGTGTGGCAGGAGCACTGCCCCCTCACGCCCAGCTGGTCCCTGCTTTACCAGAACGCACTAGCACAAGGCTCACTCGGATGCCGAGGTATTTCACCGGTTGTCCTACGTGGAAATAAATGGGTGGGTGTATTACTGCTTGCGAACAAGCACAGACTGGCTAAGGCTCATGGACTTTCTTATTCAAGAAATCAACATAAACAGTTTTTTGTCCAAGCCTTACAGTGTTTCTGGTGCACTGCCATAAGAGAGGAAGAACAGTAGCTGAGCCAAACAGCATTGTTTTAGGGTCTGGGTTTTGCAGTAGAACTGAACAAGGGCAAAGTGCTATACAAGTTCCTGTTCTCCTAATATGCAACGTGGTTACTTGTGCACATGGAGAAATCGTATCTGTAGGTTTTTTCCCTCAGCTAGAGTCGCATTCTGTGTTAGTGTGACTGTCAGCTAATGGTGATTTTGGCGATGAACTTGGCAAAACGCTGACTTTCCTGTTGCTGATGTCTGGTTTATTAAACATCTATGATTTTAGATTAAAACTGTTGATTTTTTCAAAGTATCTATGCCATGGGCGTTAATGAGCACTCATGTAGAAAACACTCCTAGCTAATAATTTCAGCTGAGATTAATATGCTTACTACATCTCCAAATATGATTAAAAACAACCCCCACCTTTTACAATGCCTTTTTTGGTTTTCCAGTTGTAGGAGTCTGCAGGCTAAAACTGAAATCCTGATCTAGTTGCTCTTCTAACTTGCATGAGTATAAATCAGAAGCAGCTCGCTGGTATACATGAACTCACAGCCAGAATATTTAATTTTTAGGAGGACAGATTAACAAAGGCACAGGCAGAACCCAGGAAAAAGAAAGGGACCGTAAAGTAGAAAAGTGATGGAGCCAGGCACACACAGGACAGATACTGTGTCCCCAAATAGTTCAGCGTCAAATAACAAAAATAGCTATAACTTCATTGCTTTAAGAGCTCAATTAACCATAGAGTTACACAGTAGCAAGGAAACACATCTAAGAATAAAAGATTATATCAAGTCAATGTGCCTATTAGTCCGACTAAGACCTTTCTCTGGTTCGTGCCTGAACCTGTTTGTTTCTCTGTGACCTGAAATTTAATCTTTTGTGAATTCAATACCCTAAATGTAATCCTCTGTGAAATTAATAATATATAATCAACCCTCCATTATCAGGGGAAATGGGGGATTGAAAAAACTGAAAGATGGAAAACCTAGATAATACAAGTATTTCTGCGCCAGGGTTAGCCTGTTCATAAGCGTTGTGCCCGAGCGTAAATGTCCTGCTCGGTTAAGCTGCAAAGTGCAGAACCAGTTTAAGTACCACTGCATGTGTAACATGGCTTATTCCCAGGCTGGGTAAGGCACCCAGGAATAATGGAGAATAAACTGTTTTTTACTGTCATTACAGTGCACAAGAATTTTAATTCATGTTTATAAAGTGTGATCTAGATAGTGTTGTGATGGTTCTGCAAGCAGCAATAAAATAGTTATTAAAATACAAAAATGACTTCATGAAGAATAAGATGTCAGCTCTTAAATAGGATTGAAGTAATGTAAGTATCCAGTTGCAGGAATAAAAAACTTCATCTAGGAAGAATGGCAACATCGTACTCCTTAACACACTGTGGAGGGAGGCAGGAAAGCACTCTCTTACTCGACTTCTGAAACTAATGAAGGAAAATGCCTACAAATTCCAGAAAAAGGATGAAAAACACTTCAGGCCTGGCAGATTATGATTATTAACACATTAGCTTTTCCCAGGTTACACTGAACCCTGTTTCTGGAGCTTGCTGTGCATGTTTGCTTGTTGTTCTCCCCCATCGTTGTCTGGATAGAGAAGCTGAAGACTGAAGCAGAAATTTCCAGTGCTTGGGTATACGAAATCTGCCTTCTGGGTAAGTCTCTATTCGCTTCTGTGAGCTTTTGCTATCAGCTTCTGCTGAAAAATACCTCAGTCAGCACCGCTTTTCACTGGTTCCTTTTTGGTGATTTTCTTTTCACTGGATGTGAATGGAAACAGGTGGCCACAACTAGTCGGTGCTTTTGCAGTTACTCTTGCTTTGCTTTTTCCTGCACCTGCGTGGGCTCCACTGCCCATGACTGCACGTCAGTGGAATGGTGATGTTCAGAAATACTCATGGTACATTTACAAAGGACCAGGTAAAATTTAGCTTAGGGCTGCAGGCTGCTTTATAAGAAAACAAAAAAAATTGTCTGATATTTGAAAGTACCAGAAAGTTTCCTAATGGTTTGAAAGGCAAATACAATGGAGATCTAGTGCTTTAAAACTATTTGGCTGCAGAACTGATGTTTTTATAGGGGAAGAGCATCACCTGAAGAATTTGACTAAACACATTAGGTGGGAAGCATAATAATCGCCCCATGAACAATCAGAAAATGAAGCTTCATGAATGACACGCTAAGAAAGCCAGGCTTGTTCCAGATCTGCGAAAGGAGACGGGCAAAACTCAGGAGCTGGACTGACCACTGCAGTGATGATCATGTGCCTTCAAGATTCAAGCAGGTCAAGATGTGAAAGGATAACCTTTGGAGACAAGCTAGCAGTCACTCAACCATGGATAGGTGGGACTTTCAAATATGCCAGGGCAGCCAGCTAATGAAAGGCACATACTGCAGAATTCTAGTCCTGATGCAAAACAATGTGGAATAAATTAATGTTGCCCTTTTGCATTTACTGTGAAAAGCTGTACACCCCCTCAGCACCTCAAGCTGGTGACAGCGTAATCCTCAATTCACATATTGTAAATTTAGAAAAGATTGGAATGTGCAACTGATCATACCTAGGATGTTTACACATGCTGTTTGATCCCAAAATACTGGCTTATGTCATTAATGGCTTGTGTCATGCTCCTTTCTAGCTTCAGAAATGGCAAATGTTTACCATTTTAACTACATTAGCTAACTGCTTAAAGAAAAGCAAAAAGGAAGCAAAGAAAGCATAATGGCAACAGTAAAAAATGAATGTTAAATTACTCTGAGGAACAACTGTGCTTTAAAAAAAAATCTTTGATGTTACTTTCAGCTCTTGAGATAACCAAAACATGCATATTAATAACCCAACTTATCTTTCCATGCCTTCACTATTACACACTTCAATTCATATCATGGCGTAACTGGTCTGTTTCCAGTCATCCTCACTTCTAGTTCTCATCCTTCATGACCCCAGAAACACAAGAGAATTTACAGTAATTGCTTATTTATTTGTTTATCCCACCCCTTTCTAATGCATCTGTGCGTATATTGGGAACTTTTTCCTCTCATCTGCGAAGTTGTGGATAATAACTAGTAACCCTTTACTATTAGTGAATATAGCCATAACTAATATATTTAGTACAGATTTTACTTCAGTGTTTTTTAATTTTTAAGCATATTAGATTAGAAATAATATCCAGCCCTTAAAAAGCTTAATTTTTCAAGCCTTTAAATACTAATTCTTCTTTATGTGCATGAAATTCTATGGAGATATATATAGCTGGAGGCAAAGTCTAAACCTTAATGGTTTCTTTCCCCATGGAAAAACACTGATTTTTTTCAAAACTGCCGAGTACCATTTGATAGCGATGAATACTACTGACGCTCAAGGACAAACTGAACATAATTTAGAATGCAAAGTAGGGCGGTTTTGAATTTTATATGAAGACAACTGATTTCTAAAAGTATGCCTAAGTAGTTCAGTACGAAACACTGCACATCTTATGTGCCTATAACTGATATTTAGCTATGGTGATTTTATCATCTTGTAGAGTTGGGACCTTATTAACCAAGCAAAATATTAATTTCATCGTAAAAGTTCCGCATCAATTTTGCTGCAAGTTGTTTTAGTATCAAACCAAATCCTTCTTCACTTAGAGACGCACTTGATTATTGATAGTTCTTGTACACTGCTACTGATACTGAACACCAGCAGGGACAAAGCTGAGCATTTAAAGCATTTGGGTTTCAAAACAAGAAAGAAGAGTGGGTAGCTATCAAGAAAACCTTGTATTTCCTTAAGAAGTACAGCCCATGGGGGTTTTGTGCTTGGCATGCTCTCTCCAACACAAAATCAGATTTCTTTTTTATTATTATTTTTTGATGAAAATTTTCTCAGATCCACATATTGGAAACATCTGGCAACCGATGGAGTTATCATACCTAAGTTCTGCTTTGGTGTCCTGAGAGCCCAGCGTGTGATGGACAATGGGAAAAGATAAACATCACTGAAAGTAGCCAGGGATGAGAGACCTATCCCTGTCAGGAAGTGTGGTCTGGACTAAAATGCTCACACACACTGATCTGGTCTACGGCAAACAGATTCCTGGGACCTCTCACTGGCAGAAGATGTTCTGCAGGACGGAGTTTTTGACAGGCCACTTGTCCAAGGCCCATCTGCTGGCGTGACCTGCCCAGGTGCTCTGACTCCGGGAAGGTGCAAAGCTGGTGCAGTGCGAACACCAGAGCTGCACTGCCTCCCGACGGACCCAGGGAGAGCTCCTTCCCCCTTGTCTGCTGACAAATTGCACAGCTGTGGTGTTACATGTCAGCACTTGCACTGCGGATCTCCAGAGACAAACCAGGAATGTTCTGCATGCCAGACAGTGGCGCTGAGCCATTACATTGAGACAACCTTCTTGAGGGAACTGTGGGCCCTGAGTGAACAAGAGTGGGGAATCCACTGACGTTCTGACCTGCAGCTGTGTAACAAGAGGCAGCCTACTGCAGCGAGGCCAGCTCTACAGCTGAAAGAGAAGATGTCTTGCAAAAGCGTGCTAAATCCATGCACCATTTGCTGCATAGGTACTACACTGATTTGAAACAAGTCGCATGGCATTTAGATAAGGTAGGTGAGACTATATGTCCCTGAAGTCTGAGGTATGCTTTCATCAACATTTGTGGTGAGCGTGAAATTATTTGATGAAGTTCATCACCATCTGGAATGCTTCCAGTGGAAAACATGGTCTTGCTGACCTGGAATTTAACTCAGATCCTGCAACCTATATATTCAGAGTAAGAGTCAGACAAATTCACATTGACATTTAATGCAGAGAAGCAAAGGACTCTAGAGTTACCTGAAATGATCTGCTCACCTGTTGAGGTCATCTTCTAAAATTAGTCTTTCAGTTCAGGACCTACAGTTCTTGCTTGTTTCACTGAACTACCACAGCTGCTAACCTTTGTCCAGGTCCTCCCCATTTAGAAAAGCTAAAGGGGCTTTTAAAGTCATATTCCTATTGGGAATCTGAAGAATCTCCATCGGATTGCAGAAATAGATTTTGTAAATAATTATCACAAGGACTGAAAAATGACAAAGCAGTCTTGAGAGATAGACAATTATGGAGGGAAGAAAAAAACATTATTGTAACAATGGAGGAAAAAGTAACCATTATTATATTTGATGAAAGATTAGTTTATTGAAACATATGACACCTAGGATAGGGAAATAAGAATAAAAAAACCCCCTTTAACTCTGGACGGCTTCTCCTTTGTTATTTCCCACTTTAGCAGCAAGTTTACCTCTTTATTTATCAGCATCTTGTGAGAAAGGGCATAGAAAAGGAATAGCAAGGACAAATATTGGGATAAAAAGAAACATGACTTGAAGAGCAATAACTCATGGCCACAGGTAACACAGCAAAAGCTTCACTGTCTCAGAAAATATTCTTAAAAGAACACTAGTGACACACTGTAGATGAGGCTACAAGATGGATGCACAACTTCTTAGAAAACTTCACTCAGCTGGTAGGAGTAGTTTGCTGTCAAACTAGAAAGGTATATCATTTGGGAATCTGTAAGGGTTAAGTCCTTTCCCTATATTGCTATTTGACAGCCTGGGTAACAGAACAGGTCACACATTTGAAATCTGCATGTGGGGTAAGGTGCTGTAGGCAAACGAGAGCAGAGAGAGTTTTCAGAATGATTTGGAGAGATCAGAGAAACGGTCTGAAAGACACAGGATTCAACTGAGCAAGGACAGGTGCTAAGTCCTGTACTTAGGAAGGGAGAATATTGTCTGGGAAAGTACAGGATGGGGAATGACTAGGCAGATAACAGTTGTTCTGCATAGGACTTGGGGAGTATTACAGAGGATCAGAGCTGAACATGAGTCAACAATATCATGCTGTCGCAAAGAAGGCATATCCATCAACCTGAGCTGTACAAATAGGAGTTTTGTCTGACGTAATTCCCTTATTTTTCTTGGCGGTGATAAGGCCTAAGTAAGAACACTACATCCAGTCTGGCAGTTGTACTTTAAGTAGGAAGTGGATTGAGCAATTCAGAAGAAAGGACAGGACTAATCAAAGACTACAAAAGGAGAGCCACAAAAAAAGGATGATTGAAAGGGTATTGTTCCGTATAGAAAGGAGAAGACCGAAGGCAGAAAATAACCTTTAAAGAAGAACGGAATAAATTGTTTTTGATACCCAGGGTGGAGAAGAAGGAGGAAAGCAGACTTAAATTACAGCAACAGAAGTTCAGATTAAACCTCCTAATAGCGAATGAGAGAGAATGCCAAATTTTGAAACCTCTGACACTAGCAGTTTTAAAAGTAGTTTGCACAAAACATCTGTCAGGAATGATTTAAACACGATCCACCTTTGGGGCAGGAGGAGGGATTAGATCACTCCTAGGTGTCCTATTTTGCATGATTACAGGAGCGAGCAGACTCTGAGGTAGCAATGAAATATGCAAAATCCCTTGGAAAGCAAGAAGTGCAAATGTTGATATAACCTGTGTAGTTTGCAGGCTCCAGCAATTCTTTAACAGTCCTTACAAGTCCACGGTTCAGGAGGTTTTAAGATGGCCAACATTATGTTCATAAATGGCAAGACCACACATCTAAAGAGGGTCTTGAAGGTGATTAATAGAGTCAAAATAGGGAAGAAGAAAAGGCTGTTTTATTAGGGGGAGAGACAGAAGTAGAGATCACACAAACATTTTAAATATTTGTATTTCTACCTAGTGAGAAGGTAAGTCATGGAGTGTCTCTAAGAAATGCATCCCTCTCCCAGACACAGAAGCCATTGCAGGCACAGGCCCTTAACAGACAGCAAGATTTCACACATGGAATATGTCTTAAATTCAGCTCCATCTAGGAAGCCCTGAACCAGAGCCTAAGGAAAGCTTAACTGACGCTTGTTTAAGTTCAAATTATTAAATGTTTTAGCTAATAGGCAGTGTCTGTTTATTAAGCAAGAGACCTGAAGAAGCCATGTCTCCACATAGAAAATATAAAATAAATACTGTCATGTCAGGATACTCCGCACTTAAAAAGAATCCTGGCTGAACAGAGTCAGTGTCGTGGTTTAACCCCAGCCGGAAACTAAGCACCACACAGCCTCTCGCTTACTCCCCCGTGGTGGGATGGGGGAGAGAATTGGAAGGGTAAAATGTGGGAAAACTTGTGGGTTGTAGATAACGACAGTTTAATAGGTAAAGCAAAAGCTGCGCACACAAGCAAAGCAAAACAAGGAATTCATTCACTACTTCCCATGGGCAGGCAGGTGTTCACCCATCTCCAGGAAAGCAGGGCTCCATCACGCGTAACCGTTACTTGGGAAGACAAACGCCATCACTCCGAATGTTCCCCCTTTCCTTCTTCTTCCCCCAGCTTTATATGCTGAGCATGACGTCATATGGTGTGGAATATCCCTTTGGTCAGTTGGGGCCAGCTGTCCCGGCTGTGTCCCCTCCCAGCTTCTTGTGCACCCCCAGCCTGCTCGCTGGTGGGAGGAACTAAAACATCCCTGTATTACCAACACTGTTTCCAGCACAAATCCAACAGATAGCCTTATACTAGCATCTATGAAGAACATTAACTCTATCCCAGCCAAAACCAGCAGAGTCAGATGCTTTAATCCACTCATAAACCCAGCCACTTTTCCCTCCACTGTTAAAAAAAGATGCGTGATGAGAATGTGGCTAGTAATCCCGGGGTGAAAGAAGTGGCATAAAACCCACCCATCAGTCACAGTCCACAAAGCTTTTACTTGGACTGCCCTTGGCTGTGATAACACACCATTGGTAATCTTCCAAACATTACGCACATACAATCTGGAATGCAAGAACTACCATACAGTCCATAAACAGAGTGAAGCAAAGCCATTGGATTAGTTCAGTCTCAGGATTCAAGGGGGAAAAAAAAAAAACAAAACAAAAACACCCTTCAGTCACGGAAAATCCTTACCTGAAATCACTTATGAAATTAATTCTGATTCCCAGAAATGCTCAGTTATAAAAGCAGGAAAACTCATAGTAGTCTCCTTGAACCAAACAACACATAATCCATTTTAGGCACTGAAAGCTCCCTTAGCTTTACTAGTTTACAAGGAAATTAATTAGGTTGTAGTTACAATATACAGACTTTTCAATTTTTTTTTCTTTAATTAGGCACCTGCAGGACAAAAAGCTATAAAAAGAAAAAGCAGCTTTTAAAATTCTACCTTTCCTCCTCTTCCCCCTCCCCCTCCACTTGTTTTTTTGTAGACAACTTGACATTTCACACATTTTTTTCCAGTAAGCAGATCAATTGCCGAAAAAAAATGCAGCCTCAGGCAAACTTATCAATCAGGTCACGTTGAACTCAGCCCATGCGAAAGTTAACACTCCTGAAAGAATGATATCACTGATCTTCATTTTTCTCACAGTCACAGTTGTGTCCTTACCCTCTTAGTTTCAAAAGAGACACTAAAACTTTAAGCAGTGTCACAGACATTACAAGTGAAGTCAACATGCTCGAGAGAAGCAAGGAAACTTCTCAGGACCCCTGTGATATAAACAAAAGCCCAGTGATAAGGACAAACAGATGGAAGGTAAGACAGACCCCAAAGAAAAAATTTAATCCTGAATAGTTCCAGTTTGATAAAATTGTAAGTAACTAAAAAGAGGCTCTTAGTAAAGAGAAATGTCGGGAAAGTTCAAACTCCTCTGCCTTTTCAGAGCATGAATTTGAACTGCAGGTTCCCATCTCTCCAAAGATACCTTAATTACCAGTCTGCTAGGTTTCTAGGACTGGTCTCTTTTTTTGTATTGAAGCTACTTTAGCTAATATAAACACACAAAAGGCA